CATGTGTGGTGTTTTGTTTTTCATTATATTTTCCGATAACCCATGGGGGAGGGGAAGGAGGGGAGAGATCTCTTGATGATGTATTGATATTTCATATGATAACTTTCTAAGGCATGACTATACATTTGAAATTCACAAACTTACAAATGTTTCCCTGCCAAAGGAATTGCTCATATTTCAAACCCTTATTAATTTCCATGCCTGGAAATTGTGTTTACGGCAATAAAGGATAGTTTCAAAGGTGTAGCTTTATATGACATAAACGCCCAAATTTGGCTTTTATCTAGAATCAAACCCAAATCAGGTCATTGCATACATTTCCTACAGTTTTGCGTTTGAATCAAAGTTGCAAAATGTACTGTTTGGTGAACCACTCTTGAATAAAGGACATGTGAGGAAAATATTGCCTCTGCTTATCATGACGCTTATCATCGATTATTATTAGACGAATTTGTTCAGCTTATGAGGAAAATTTCTGCAAAAAATGAATGATAACTTCCTCAAAAACATTTCCTTCTCTTTGTATTGAAGCTTTAAACAGATACTAACGAGATAAGACAACATGTAACAAGCTGTGTAGAATTCACTGATGTTTACTGCACTTGCATAGTTGATCTTTATTTGTTTGTTTTATGCCGCACTCAGCAATATTCTAGCTACGTGACAGGATGGTGGTCTGTAAATTATTGTGTTTGGGTAAAAAAAAAGACGTGAATGAGCAACAGTCTATGCCGTCAGAGTACAGAGCTACAGATAAGCTGCGTATTTGCGTAAAATACCCCCCAAAATATCCAAAACCCAATAACTTTCAATTAACTTGCGTACAGAAACGCATGCATAAAATGAAAAATTCAAATTTATAAAAACAGCTCTCGTAAATACCCAATGAAGCTTTTTCAGCATGCGTACAAAGAAGCTTATTTCCGAAACACGATTACAAGCTAATTTACTTTCCGAGTCAAGCCTATATATTAGGAACAGTTATATACATCTAGAACATTATTTCATTTTTTCAAAATCTTAAAATATTCACTATATTTGGGAAAAACTCAATAGAGTGATGAATAGATGAGTGAAAAAATATTGGTTACCCAATGAAAAAAGTTATAAGTAATATAACCCAATTAAAATAGAAACCCTAGAGTAAAAACTCAATTGCTCAAAAAGTTTATCTGGAGCTCTGGGAATATGATGACACACAATGAACCAAATGGGCGATCTTTTTCAATTTATCTTCCCTTCACTAACCCGCTAGGTGCGCTGACCCGGACGGTCCAACCTTAAACTGACGGCGCATGTGGTATGTGCGATACGAGCACTCCATGTTACTATGACGCCTATAGACAGTTAACTAGTACAACCTTCACCTCTGTCGGCAACGGTCATGCTTGTGTGCGGACAGTATATCTTTTCGCCTAAACAATTATTTATCTATTGCCATGTCCGGAAATAAATGTTCCTTGATATAATTATACATCAGGGATGACCACGACTGATTATATTGTATAGTTAACCACTAGATAGGCGTTCGAAGCGATGCGGTGAAATCAGCTGATCGTTCATCCCAGGTCGCTATGTTGACGTTTTGCAATCGGTACTGAAAGTGTTGCCCTTGATGTATGAATATCACACTTTTAAAAATAAAGTAGATTTTGTATCGTTCCTGTATCTATGTTGTAGTATCGCCGAGCAGGCTACATCATATGCATGCATTTCAGTATGTACAGCCTAAGGCGATGCGGTACGCGAAATGTGAAGGTCTTATGCAACGTAAAGTTGCCCGTAGCCTCAATGTTGTGAATATTGACAACAACACATGTAAGTATTTGTCAGATATATAACAGAGAGCAATGAGAAATGTTCTCAAGAAATTGTAGTGAGTGAGTATAGTTTTACGCCGCTTCTAGCAATTCAAGAAATTGTAAGAGTAACAGGCACTGTCATCAACTAGATATCATGATACAATGTTCAAAACAAAAGTAATGGAAATCACTGAAATCTGTTTTGATATTAAGGGTTATTTGGTGCATGTTGTATAAAAGGAGTTTATGTATATTAATGGTAGCTGTTTGTTGCCAAATACTACCATGATTATATTCCAGTATGATCAATGAAAGATATATATTATTTTGGCCTTTTTTGAATTTTACAAAGTATTAAAAAATATTAGTTAAAATACATATTCACTTGAGAGTATTTGTACCAACTACAATTTTTATGAAATAAAACAATATATTCATACTTATTGTCAATCTCTATAATGTTGATTGTCTTAACATTGCAGTGTCTACATCCAGTTTGCATTGACAATAATCATATGATTGTGACACAGATAAAGCTGATTCTTAACTTCATTAGGCCTTGCTTCTTATGTTTCCTTGTTCTAAACTGATGTTTCAAATTCCAGCATAAACAAATTATCAATGTTATTTTTTTTCTATTCACACCAACAGATATCTGCATTGCACAATGACTCTTATTATTTTAGTTAATATCTCGGCATACTTGTGCATGTGTACTAGTATTTGATTACACATACATGACTTTTCAGCAGTCATCTGTTTCTGAACTGAATATTATGCTAATAAAGATAAGTAACATAAAAAAAGGACTCTGGTATTCTTTCATGTTTGGAGAATCAGTCAATTCATTGTGGAAACATTTCTTGCATAAGTTATTTTGATCTTGATAAGATCAAAATAGATCAAAATTAAATTGAGGAGATAAAATTATGCAGTCTAATTCATTTCAGCCAGTCTGTCTGAAATCCGGTCCTATTTTTCAGGCAATAATAAATTAATGAAAATTTAAGAAAAAATATACCTTGCCTGAGTGAATCAGTCAATGTGCACATTGACTAAAATTTTCAGTCAATATACATATTGGGCCTGTTTATAGACACTGACTGTAACATATGTAAGTATAATCTGTTATATGCAAAAACAAATAACATAAATAAATCCATTTATCTACATGGAATGATTGTGGGGTTCAATTTGCATTTATTTAATCATCAGAAGATTTGATGATTAACTTTCTAAATTCATATTTGCTATATGATAATAATATCTACAAAATATACTTTATATTACAGGTGTCTTGAAATACTGTTGAATGAAAATCAGGATACTTAGATACATCAGGATAGTGTGTTGGTATGTATGGAAAATAATTTGTCAACATTTAAATAGAGGATTAACCACTGTGTTCGGTTGTTACCGAAAAATCTACACACGAGTGATTAATCTGCCACGATTAGAACGAGGCTTTGCCGAGTTCTAATCGTGGCAGATTAATCACGAGTGTGTAGATTTTTCGGTAACAACCGAACACAGTGGTTAATCCTTTTTCTCCCATAACAATACGCCATAAAATGACGAGCTCGTAGTTGAAGATTTCCTGTGTTCAGTAACCACTCGGGATTCCCCCGAGCCTCGTTTTCAAATATGCCCAGTAATACAACTGCACCGAAAGCAAGTAAATAGGCTCTAGCGACGACAACCCACAGGAGTCTTCCCGTGACAGGCAAGGCACTTGTTCGCATTCATGTTACGGGCTTTGTTAACTATTAAAAGATGATGGGAGTAACGTTTTGAGAATTATTAATGTGACTTGATATCTATAAATGCTTTTTGATTAGAGTCTACCCGGCCAATAACTATTTGTATTCATCTCGTCGCGACTATCAGTCCCAATGCGCAACACTAAATAGGTCCACCTTTGAGTGTATGTAAACACGTCATACGTTTATTTGTCCGCTGGAAACTAATGTTATAAACCCAAATAAGAGGAAATTAAATTATTTTTGTTGTTGTAAAATATTGATTACGAAAAACAAGGGCTCAAGGAACTGTCAGCAGGATTGATCAGGCTAGATTCTATAAATACCAACTGAGGCAACTGATCAGCTGATTACTGCTAGGTGAATCTTCTCAACTCCATGAAAGAATTGAAATATTTGTAAACGAATTTTGCTCTTTAAACTAATTTTACAGTGAATAATTCAATATTTGACTTTTGAACATACTATTTACCATCATAACACCAAAAATGTTACTAAATGAGTTGTCTAATTTTCACACATTTGAGAATGACAAGAAACAATGAATTTGACAAGCACAATAGTTTATTGTGTGTGAAACATAAAGACATAGGATATATGTAAACAATAAAATATCATTTCAACAGTTATCAAATATTTACAACATTTAATACATTGTCTTTAATACTGTTGATTGTGAAAATAATTAACTGTGATGTTGTATGTGCCCCCATATATATTGCTGAACATTCCCTGCACGGGATCTACATCCCTGGAGACATTGACTGTGTGGCTTTCCCTCTGCTCAGAACTTGTTCTGGACATCTGGCTGGACACCATGGTGCTCACAGGGTCTGGTATGGGGCTCACAGGACCTTGTGTGCTTTTGGGTCTTTTTGCTTGTCCACCAATAATCTTAGATATGGTTCTATGTTGGTTGCTGTTCAGTGAACTGTAGTCATTTAGGCTTTGCACATTCTTGTGGCCAGATATCTGCAATCAATAAGCTTAATAAATAATACATTTTTATGAGATATGGGGTATGTCAATTTCATTCCTAAAATTTAGTTATAAGTATTTTCTTTGTATCACGTTGACATAAAGAAGTTGCACAGATCTTTACAATTTTTCAAACATGAAATTTGATTATTTAACTTTGAATATTCATGGATTTAGCATTTAGTGAAGCTCCTAACCTGCATCACTTGGTTGCTGGGAACACCAGCATCACACAACTTTTGGACAACATATTTTCTCGCACTGTGGTTGGTCAACCTTTTGGCTTGTGGTCCTCCATCTGTCAAACCTGAATCATAATGGTTTATTCGAAAACTTTATTACATTTGTTATCTTAAATCTGCATTTAGTAATTAAATCAAGTTATCATCACTGTAGTGTAAACATTATCATGTATTGATATGAACAATTTACATGTTCTCTTATGCTATTGATATTTAGATCATATAGTTAAACATAAATTACCTGCTGCTTTCGCCATAGATTTCATGAAGGAACCCAACTTGTTGATCCCTACTGGCTGTCCCCTGAACCACTTCTTGGACTTATTCATGTCTGTACAAGTTGATATATAAAAGGGATCAGTTTCCTTCATGTAGTGTGTTGGCCTCAATTCTAAATACTTTTTGAACATCCTTACAGGACAACGTTCTGGGTTCTCCTTAGTAGCCCACATCTTTGGCTCAACTTGTCTGTAAGACAAACACATGATAGATAGAAATAGTGATCTTTCACATCATTGATGATCTATTTTACTGATTAATTAAAAAATTATTTGTGTAAGGTCACTCATTATAATTCATAAGAGTTACATTTCTTTCATCCATAAAACATACCAGAAGATGATTTCAAATTACATTAAAATCAATTTTTTAAAGTATATTTTAAACAATTGAATGTTTTGGTTTTGTTGCGCATTAAGTTGTATTTATATAATATTCATACTCACAAATCATCACCAATTTATTTTCCTTACCTGATATTATTTGGATCTGCTCCACCTCTTGTTTTTGTAGATCGCTCACAGAAGGCGACATAATCGTCGCCATTACCGTCCTGCTTCAGTTTCAAATCGCCCCACTTCATATCATGGTGCTCCTGCACTCCTCTCATACCAAAGTATATGGTATTGTTAAACCATACAGTGTGCAGGAGCGCCTCCGGTGTGTGTGATCCCAGTTGACCTGAGGGAGGGAGGGAGACTTTATATCAGTAAAGAGAACACCGGCCCATTATACATTACATACAGACCTTTTATAACATACATGTGAAGAGCACCACTTCGCTCGTTACAAAAGTTTTAGCTGTTTTCATATGTTTTTTCATAGCTAAAGAACTTATTGTCACGGGATATTTGGATGTTAAGAGCTGAATAAATTTATCATAACATGGATTTACCTGATGAGTAAAGCCTGTCGACTTCATCCTCTGTGAGGCAATCCGCTTTACGAGGTCTGTTTCCTCTCCCACTTCTTTTCAGTTCCACTTGCTTGGAAGCAATGACCATATTAAGCTGGGCGAACTCCTCGCTCCTAATGAGACAGTAGGCGTAATTGTGTTCCCTCAGATGTCTGTTGAATGATGATAACATTCCTGTAAGTAAAATGTCTTTAAGAAGTTGAAGATAAACATGCTTCATACTTTTAGTAATAAGCAGACTGGTCTAAATAATAATTTGATATTAAGTGTATTATCCTAATGTAGAATAAACCAAAATTAAAATCATCATAACAATATATTTAAATTTAGATTTGTATAATTACTTTGAAATTTAAGACGTTCAAATATTATGTGTCATCTATTAAACAAACTGTAATCAGATTGTAATCAGGTTCCTAATTTTGGAATATATACTATACATTGCTATCAGAATGACAGTTAGTTAAAGATGTGGATGTTTACCAAAATATTAAACTTCAATTTCTTTATCATGTTTGTTAACATCTGTAAATGTAATAGTGAAAACTTGCCAATCTGAGGCCCATGTTTTTATAATATTGGATATTACTTTAATAATGTTTCTAAAGTGCGTAATTTTACCTTTAAGGGATGATGGTTCATAGTTTTCACCGTTACTTTTCCTGGCATCCATAAAAAACTTGCAAAGGTGACTGTTAAGTCTGTGTGGAGGGATGGATTGAAGGGGTCTTGTTTCACCTCTATTTTGCTCTAACCACTTGGCAAGTGTTGTCATGTTTGAATTAGTTTTCTTGGCGGTGTTCTTATATTCTTGTGCCTTGATGAATTGCTGTATTTTCTCTTGGCTAGATGACATCCAGTTGTTGAACTCTTCATCAAACTCATCATCTGAACCATCTAGTCTAACATCTACAAATAAACAACATGAGATTTAATAACAGTTATTCATTGATTTAGATACTCAACAGCACTGACTTTGAAAGTAACTATTATTTCTGCAAAATGATGATTATCAAATATGATTAACCTAAATGGATTGAAAATCTGTTAATAGTGTATGTATATTGGATTTACTTATGATTTATGTGTGTATATTTTATTGTATATATTTATACTTGTGGTAAGTCATGGTTAGGGACTCGGCAAGCCTTGTTCCTATGGCTAAGTTCTCGGCAAGCCTCGAACCCAACCAAAATAACAATTTTTTCAGAATTTCAAAAAAAAAATTATATCATAATTTTACCTCTGAATGGAGAACTCTCTCTTGATCTTTTCTTTGACCCATTCCTTTCTTTCTCTCGTGAGTTTCTACCTAAAATAATAATATGAAATTAATTTTTCACTGCTCCCTATTAGAAATCAAAATAGTTAAGAAAAAATATAAATACATATATTACTTTTTGAGTTTTCATAGATCAAGGTACTTATAACTGCATTCAAGTTTAAATGTGGTAATGTTAATGTTTTTTTATTAAAAAAATTAGCTTCATAATTTTCCAGAAATTGTATGTTTCAATTAAGTCTTCAAGGTAAAAAAAACCCAAATATTTATAGGCCCAAATAGATGAATTATATTGATCTGGATAAACTCTACCTGTTGTAAGGGGAGACAACTGCTGTGGTTGCAGTACACCCTGGTCGTGCGCTGTACGGTCCGGCAAAGTATGATCGTTTCCTTCATTAAAATGAAGTATTGCGTTAGATACAAATTATTTGAGTCTTTATTTTCTTGAAATATGAAGTTTAAGTCTCTATTATTGTCAAATAACTATGAAATATGCTTTGGACGCTGGGTTACACAAACGATCGATCGGCTCCATATCAACACTTCGTTTATAACGTGACATTGCTTATGTGTTTGATGGTTAATTTTTTTAAATACCAAAAGCAATATGGTAGTTTATTAGTATTTTTACATAAATTAATTAACTATTTCATTAGCTGTTTTATTAGCATTGTAAACGCCCAGTGAAGAATCTACCGGAATGGCTCACCTGGTCCCGTAATATCGAAGCGGTATCTTGCTTCGGTCACCGTCTTCCCATTCTGCGACTTAATCTCGTACATCGGGAAGCCGAAATTCTCAGATACATCTCCGCATATCACACCCCTTCCTCCTCCACAAATTTTCACTTGATCACCAACTTTCGGTGATTGAAACATCGTCACAACGGTGGGGCCTAATGTTTTGACAGCTGAGTATTTCCTGCACCAGACGACCTCGGGAATCCCCGATTCGAAAATAGTGCCGGAATTTATTTTTAGACAGCCAATCAAAACAGGATGACACAGCACTCCACTATCAGCCAGCCAATCAGATTGCGTAAATAAAAATAAACCACTACGAATAAACCACTGCTGGCGATTGGAGATCAAGCCCTGTTATGGGAGAAATAAATATAATGTTACTAAAACAAGAAGATAAAACAATGATTAACATCTATTTATGCAACATACACATTTTGTGGGGTAGTCAGTATGATTTGTTGTTTGTTGGGACAAATCTCTGTAATTTACTACTATTTTGAGATCATGAGTATCAGAATTCTGTAAGAAATGATGGATCAATGAATTAACACCTGTGATGACTCAGAGCGCTTAATGGTGGGACACATGTTATAAGGGGCAGAATAATGTGGGTAAATCTCTTTTTTCAAAGTATGATGACTGGTATGTATACTGCAACTGAGTAACTGAGTGCTTAATAGATGCATGGTAGATTTTCATTTGGCCTATTCTAAAAAATAATATAAATTTAAATATTCAGATGCAACTTTAATTTTGATATAAAAAGTAACATTTAAAATCAGTTGTTTTATTATTTTGAACGTTATTTCTTCTTAAAGTATTTGTAAAGGCACGGATGTATACTTACTATATAGATCATTGGTAAAGGCCTGTCAAAGATGTCTGTGTGCTGCAAAGGTAGGCATATCACTAATTTTATTAAATTGAAGTCCATGGTAGTATTTGTTGAGATTTGAATGCTTGAATTGTTGTGGGAAATAACACAAAGGATGATAAATAAAATGAGTTTGCATTATTTCATCGATGCAATATGTTAGCCCAGACTGACAAAATGCCTGGCTGTTTTCTGACGTAGAAAATACCGTTTTTCATGACGTTTTCCCCGCTATCTTCCATAGTGACAATTCGTCTTGTAGTTGAAGACTCAACAAATGTTGATATTATAAGCTAATAATCACTACAAAATATGTGCTAGTTAAAAATATTCAGTTGTAAACGACCGTTTTTGAACGAAGGTGCAACAGGATAACTCTTTAGCTTGGCTCCGTCTCTACATGTCAGTAGTTGGCGCAGCGGGCATAGATCCAGGAACCAGACCGGAAGCGACAGTTTGGACCGTCGCTTATATCATTTCAAAAGGAGAGTTATTGCCCTTTGGAACAAAAATATCGCCCATTGCCAAGACTGACCAACTTATCCATTAAGGTGCCAACCATTATTATCCCCCCCAGGCATATAATGCGGGGGGATATAGCGATCAGCCAGTCCGTCTGTCCGTCTGTCCGTCTGTCCGTAATCAGAACTCAAAAACTGTGTAATGCTTTCTTACAAAACTTTGTATGTCTACCAGGCACATACTAAACTGGTGCCTTTTGCTATTTAGGAATTTTATAAATTTTTATTTTTTACGTTTCCATCGCAACAAGTTGGATTTAAGTTTTCATATAGGGTGGGTTCACTTATGGAGTATAACAAATGATCTGTTGAATATTTCCTTGCCAAACATTGCATGTCTATATATAAAGTACAAACTGAACTGGTGCCATTTGATATTAAGAAGTTTTAGAAATGTTTATTTTAGAATTTCCATTGCAGCTATTTTGACATGGGCTAAGAGAAATGTTGGGTCAGTTACCTGGTTTGGGACCATAACGTGTTAGAATGGGCGGGGGATATAGATGACTTCGTTGACTATTGTTATTGTTTCTTGTAATTTGTCATTTGTTTGTCTAAAAAACCCATAGAAACACACATGTTTTGCTTTCCATTTGATGATTTCATATGGATGCAACCATGGTGGATCTTTTGTTGGTAAACAATGTATGCTTCTTAAAGAACATTCAACTCTTGACTCATTACATAAAGAATTGCACATTTACTTGTGGTTACTTTACAGACAGCTGTCGGGGGGGATATGTCATCTTTCTGATGACTCTTGTATACTCTGGAAAAGGGGTGTATTTCAAGTATTTTGGAGAGAACCTGAGATCTGTTCAAAAAAATAATTGTGATAAATAAATTGTATCAGGAGGTTCCATAAGACATCTCAAACAGAGTGTTTGGTGGACATAGTTTTACTTAATACTAGTAGGCAAGATGGTGGCGGTACACACGAAGTTGTGACGTCACACACATGAAGTTACACAAATGACATCATACACAAAAACTCGTAGTTGTGAGACTACTTGTCACAGAGATCAGCTGAACTGATGTGCTACACTTTGGTTATTATCTTTATACACCTGATGAAATCTCTTGTGTGTGTGTGTATATATATATATATATATATATATATATCAGAAATTAAATAAGTGGAGTAAGATTGAACACAGTTTTAATTGGTTTGCGCTTTCAACTCGTACCATGTATGAGTCTCATCAGGCCATAACTTAAGTGATATGAGTTGAAAGCGCTAGCCAGTAAAAACTGTGTTCAATCTTACTCCACTTATTTAATTGTTACTATATTGTGCCTGAGAGTTAGAACTTTACTGTGCTTTTTCTATATATATATATTGGGGATGTGCGGTTTTATACGTTTTTGGTGTATCGGTTTTTCCCTCATTATTCAAACTGTGACTGAAATGTATATGCCATGATGTATAGTCTTACCTTAAATCAAAACAAAGACAAAACAAATGCTTCATACTCTTTTTTTGATTGTAGATAAAAAAAATAGTACAATTTATTAAAATTGGTACATAATTTTGACCAAATTGTTGACATTGCAGCTTTCATATTAACATTTGTCAAAGGGATATGAAAAAAGCTTTTCTCTTGGTAGAAATTATTTCAGCATTATATTGCAATAATATTGCAATATGTTTCTGAAATATTCCAATATATCGCAATACACTTTTTGGTCCAATTCCCAACCCTAATATATATATATGAAATAATAAAGATAATATTCTTGTTGCATCAA